GCGTGCGAGATGGAACGAGATGAAGAATGAAGGGAGGGGGACGAGGGCAGAGAAGTGAATCCCTTCCGCGGTTGAGAGAGAGAGAGAGAGAGAGAAAGAGAGAGGAGGAGGAGGAAAAGGTGGAGAAAGGGAGAGAGCAGCCATCGGCCGCTAGATACCGACGAGGAAACACCGACGCCAATCGATAGCGTCGACCTCGGCATCCTGCCGCGTTCGCCGGCGGGGTTTGCGATAGCGCGCCATCCAACTCGCGCGCGCTACCCTCTTTCTCCCTTCTCACCCACCCCTCATCCCCGTCTCATTCTCATTGCATCTCGCTCTCGTGCGCGAGAGCGTTTCTCCCCTGTCCGTCTCTCTCTTTCAACCTCGGGCTCGCTATTCCGCGCCTCGGGTTCCCGTCTGCCACCCTTTGTCGGCGTCTTCTTCGTCGGCCGGTTAGATCGGAGCCGGGATCCACGTTTTCTCCTCTATTTCGCTCTCCTCTCTCGCGCGTGTCGTATATATTGGATTTATTTATCGCGTACGGCGCTACGTCTATTCTCTTTCCGCGGGAGACTCCCGGAATTAGCGCTAACAAGTTGGCCCGGGATGTAACTCCGGATGGAATTAGCTCGGATTATTTTCTTAGAACTTGTCGATGGTACGTCGCTTTAACTTTCTCGAAGGAGGCTCGCGTTAAGCTCGAAACGTAAAATGGAATTGACTACACGTGTGCTCCATATAAAAGCTAACAAATATCGATTCTTCCTTTCGTCTCGCTCTTCCCGATCGCTGTTTTATTCCTTAATTTATGTTTTACTACTTACAATTACAGAGTAGATAGCACAATGTTACTTACACTCAAAAAAGTGGTTTTGCAACTACAGCAAAAATTTTCTGGGTGCGCAAAATTAACTGAGGTACATAAATGATTAGCAAATACTGTGATATCGCATATGTTTCGCATTTAATCAATCTAACTGACAGAGACAGAATTTATATCTGAACTGTTTGTGAAATTTAGAAAGAATGTTTTTCTGTGGCGCCTATCCATGTTAAGGCCAATCATTCTTGTTAAAAGTTTGACTGTGGTACACAGAAAAAATTAGCGGCAAGAAACAAATGAATATATAATCCTCACGTCTAACATATTTGTATAACGCGCTCAATCTATCTAGCTCTTTTAAACAATTTTTCTCAATTTTTCGATGCTGCAGTTATAATTGGCAGTTATATTTCTCACAAAGATCGTTCTAGCTGTAGTATCGAAACTCATATTTATCCAATGCAGTGATTAACATTTGGCAATGGGACCTAAATTTTCTAGAAGATATTATTAGAATGTTGCTGCTATAAATTCTATATGTAACAGACAATATTCTAACAGATACAAAAAATAGCGATAAATTTTTGTTGTGACACTTAGAAATCTACCTATATCAGCAAGACATTTTTTTGAGTGTAGAATTAAGATGACGAAATGCGGCAACTGCAACTTGTAGCTACTACGACTGCTAAAGTATGTAATTCCTCTTACGTCATGTCTCGCTATATCGATATTTTTGTGCGTAGGAAGTAATGTATTTAATATGATTAATAAATGAATTTTTTCTCTTTATTTTTCCTATAATATTTTTAATAAGACTTTCCTGTCTCAGAAAAACTATTTGCCGATATCGTCGATATTTCAATCCAACGCACATGCGTGCCGCTAAAAGAGATAATAAATTCGCGACAGGTTCACGTGAAATTTACAGAAACATTGCTAATCATCTCGGAATGCGAGATTGCGCGGGAGATTACAACGGAGTCGCGAATAATTAATGGATACAGATCCTTGACGAATTACATCTTAATCTATGCATTACAACTGACGACTATAAAAATTTTAAAAACACGAATGAAAGACTGTAAGACCAGATACGGCCATCTGGAATAAAGCATATAATAAATTTTTCACGTTGTTAATTTAAAGAGAAAATTCCTTATTACAAATAATAATCATTTTAACGTCTTTTAAAACATTTAGTTCCAATTTGGTTCCAATTTTTTATTTACAAATTTATAAATATAATATAAGATTACTCAATTAACATTCAAATAATTACAAAGTAATTTAACGTAATGATTTAACGTAAATCAATTTAATGTTATCAATTTAAAAGCTTTGTTTTTTCATTTTAATCTGTTCGAATAAGATGT